ACAGCCCGGGGCCCCCGCGCGGAACCCGGGCGGGAGTGGCCCCGCGCAGGCAGGGGGCGGCGCCGCGTACTCCAGCCCGGCGGGCACCTCGGGGGCGGGCGCGGGGCGCAGCCTTCTCGTCCCGGCCGCTCTGACAAGCGCCCCGAGGCCGGGAGCTGGGCTGCCCGGTGCAGGGTGGGCGCGGACGCGGGCGCTGCGCTCGCGCGGGACCCCGGGAGTCGCGATGAACATCGTGGTAGAGTTTTTCGTGGTCACTTTCAAAGTGCTCTGGGCGTTCGTGCTGGCCGCGGCGCGCTGGCTGGTGCGGCCCAAGGAGAAGAGCGTGGCGGGCCAGGTGTGCCTCATCACGGGCGCCGGCAGCGGCCTGGGCCGCCTCTTCGCGCTGGAGTTCGCCCGGCGCCGGGCGCTGCTGGTGCTCTGGGACATCAACACGCAGAGGAACGAGGAGACGGCGGGCATGGTGCGCCACATCTACCGCGATCTGGAGGCGGCCGACGCCGCCGCGTTGCAAGGTAACTCGCACCCGCGCCCGAGCATTGTTGGGTCAAGCCTCTCTCCACCCCACGCCCTACCCCGGAGGGCCCCCAAACCCCACTGTCACGGTCAGCTCCGCTCTCGAGGAAAAGAACACCGCGCCGGTCTCCGGAAGGCGAATGGAATTTGCCCTGATAAAGGAGCTTGATCACCTACCTCTACGTTAGAAGGGGGAAAGTGTGCCAAAGCCAGTCCTTACTGAGGTCCTCTCTCTTTGGGGTCGACAGCGGGGTTTCCTAAGCCCTCTCGGGGTAGGGAAGGCAGAGGGGACTTGTTACCATAGGTTTGGATCCTAAAGAAACGTCTCCGACTTGCCAGCGGGGCGATGGGAAACTAAAGTGTCTGGGAAGTTGTTCTCAGACTCGACTGAAGCATGTATCTGTGTTACGTGGTCTGAACCGCTTAGACTAGGGCAGTATTGATGATTTCGCTATAACTTTAGCCAGGGGAAAATAATTACATTGTTTCTCCAGCGGTAAGTAAATACTTTAGTTACATACTCTGTGCATGATTGAAAGATGCCCTGCCTCTTAAGAGAAAGCACGCTTGAAGGATTTAAGCTTCTTTGTAAATTTCTTCCATGTTTTTGGTACCCCGAGGAAATCCGCATTTCTGTTTACTAACCTGAAAATGAGATTTTTTTAAAGCCAAAACGGAGACCATAACCAACTCTAAATATTGGCCCGGAAAATTTGATAATGGCTCTTCCTTTTTGACAAAATTTTTTTATTTTCAGGGAAAACAACCATACAGGGAAGACTGACTTGGGCACCACTCCTCTCCTATATTGATCATTTGTCACCAACTTATTGGCACCTGCCTTTTTGATTTAAGGTGGAAAGTGTCAAAACTTAACAAAGTGGTAACAAATACAGATTTTTGTGCTCCCTACCCAAACCTAAAAGATAAAAGTTTTCATTTTCCAGGGAAGAGATTTCGGTTTTTAAATTGAGTTCTTATGTGATAAAATTGCATATTTACCTGTAAACTTGATTTATGAGGGTGATTCTTAGGGGGGGGTCAGCTATGCTGATTAGAAAAACTAGTGGCCTCCACTTCATGAGAAATTTTAGATTCATTTCTTGGCTTTGGATGAATTAAAATTATTAATTACAGTTTTGAATTGTGAGCCTTGAAATGAGTTTCCATTTTGAGGGTACTCATACTGAAGATTAGGAACTGTTTCCGGACACTGTTTCCCAAAAAAGAGGAGTGTGCAGTGTGTGTGTTATTCTCTGGGCTGAGATCAGTTCTTTGCAGGTGTCTTTAGCTCCAGCAAGCTGATCCCATGTGGTCTACTTGTACTGGGCTTGTCACAATTACATGACTTTCCCTTAAGCAAAGTTATCCAGTAAATTGCTGTAATTCCCAGATTTTGGGGGAGGAAGGCAGCTGTAAGTTCAGTCATTGGCAGGCCTTATGGTGTTAGAAATTTGAAGCTCACTGTAGTAGTTTTGTTTTGTGTGATCTTTGTCCTACTGATTGTTATGTGACTCATTTTCTGCACCCCCTCCTCTGTTCCATTTTTTCCCTCATGTGGACTTCTGAGGACAGCTGGGAATGGTGAAGAAGAAATCCTGCCCCACTGTAACTTGCAGGTTTTTACCTACACCTGTGATGTGGGGAAGAGGGAGAATGTCTACCTGACAGCTGAAAGGGTCCGCAAGGAGGTTGGCGAGGTCTCAGTCCTGGTCAATAATGCTGGTGTGGTCTCTGGGCATCACCTTCTGGAATGTCCTGATGAGCTCATTGAGAGAACCATGATGGTCAATTGCCACGCACACTTCTGGGTAAATATAAATATCCTTGTTTTTATTACTGGGCTCTCCTCAATGAGAAGGTTGGAAAGGAGAGACTTCAGTGCCAGCTCGAAAGCCACCTGCACTCTTTTACCACAAAGTTTCTTCTAATTAGCTATTCCCCCATGGTGAATTACAGTGTGTGCTGGTTACTATTAAATAGCAGTTATTTTCAGCCCCCCTTTCCCCCCACCATTTGGTATTTCTTGAGAGGGTAGGGGACTGAACATTTTGAACTAGTTTGAAAGATTGCCATAAAAATAACAAGAGGGAGCATAAAACCCTGGGTTTGTTTATTTTACTTTCTGTTGAGTTTATAAAACACTGGTTGTTCTTATGAATTTCTAAAGTCAGGGTTTAGGCTTCCAAATTACTGCTCAGCCACATTTTAGAAAGTGCCAAAGATTCTTAGATCAGCATCTGTGGTCCTTTGGGAGTGGTCAGGCCACCCCGGCAGTCACTTAACGCCCATTCACCATCTACAGGGTCCATGGTATTGTCCTGTTAGAGGACATCCCAGGACTTTCTCAGCTTTGAAGATGCCTCTTCAATGAGAACAGAAGTTACCTGGACAGGACCACAGAAAGGGGAGTGGGAGGGAGTTATGAGACCTGGTGAAACAGGGATTTAAACAATGTCAGCTTCTAACCATCAGAGCTACCGCAGCATCTAGGGATAAGGGGCTTCTGCTGCTTTGGGAGCATAAGTAACCCCAGTTTTTCAGCTGAATTTATCTCCAGTAAGGTTAGGTGTGAAGCTTTCCCTTATAACACTGTACACTGTTGACCCATTTATGCTTTTTTTCCTCACACTATTTCCCCTTTACTTTTGTAGACAGGTGGTGTCCAATAAAGAAAGGGTAAAGAGATAGGGTTGTTTTTTTTTTTTTTCCATAGGCGGATTAGCCTTCTAATAGAATACAACAAAGAACTGTTTCTCTTAAATAGGTCACATTAAACCTCATTAATTTTTTAGCAACTGCTTAAAAACTTAATCTGGCTTTAGAAGTACTTATTCAAATGTTGCTCATGGAACATCAAACCTTTTCTCTGATCCTGGAAGAAGCTTATTTTAATGTTTTATTTTTAAACGTGAGCTTTATTTAATTCATTCTCAAACCTTTAGAAATGAGTATATAAATGACCTGAGCTAACTCATATCTATGTTTTAAATGAGTAAGGAGATCACTACAATGTGGGGGAACTGAAGTGTGCCTGTGTGCGCGTGTGCATTATGTGCATGCAGGAAGGTGTGTGTGTGTGCAGTGGGGGTGGGGAAGTGAACTGAAGTCCTTGCTGCTGCTGAGTCCACAAGAACAGGCAAATACCACAGGGGTGGGTTAGGTGAAGAAAGGCTATTCCAACTGAATAAACTTAGCAGTAGAATTTATCAGGAATCCTGGTTGTTATAATTCGGGGTAAAATAAACAGCCACCATTTGGGATAAAAGATGTACATAAATTGCAGGTGGAGTGTAGTTTTCATATTAGAAGAATGGTAAGGATGAAGACACCATAGAAACTCAGCCTTAAACAGGTACACAGCCATCAGCAGGTTAGTTATGAACCACAGACACTGGGATTGTTTTTTTCCCAATAACCTTTGGCTGAGATCATGCAAGATTTCCCAGGTATAAAGTTCTACCCACACCAAGTACTCTGAAGTTAAGCCATCTTGCCTACTTTCTGTTCATGATTATTTGACTGAAATGTAAAATTTTAAATGTAACCAGATTTTTAAAGAAACTCCATGCAATCTGCAATTACATGCTTATTTTTACAGGAAAGCAGCTTATCTTCCCTAGATATTTGATCAAATGAGCGCTAATTTAGTGTGTGTTAAGCACAGAAAATCCATAGCCTTAGCTTTGAAAATGCACATGAATTGATACTTCTAACATTAGCCTATTTTCTAACATAAGGAGGAAATCAAATCAAATCTCTAATAGAAAAATTCTTCTGGAACTGGATTTGTATACCAAGGAGGAACATACCACCTTCCCAGAGTCCTCACTGTGCTTTGAGATGTTGCTTAACCACACAATTTAGGGAGTTCTTGGAAACCTTGACAGTAATGACGTCACTTCATATTAAAATATGGGAGGCTCCTGAATTCTCCAGCTGTTTTTCCCCTAAGCATCTAAACTTAAGAATTTATTTCCAATATTGAGTCAGAAAATTAATTTTAGAGTTGGAATTTCTGACTTGCTGAGATTTCCAAACCTTTTGAGAAGTTGAGATTTAACTAAAATTTAAAAGAAGACTTACTATAATTTTTACAGTGATTTTTCTTCCTTGTTTTTTTTTTTTTTTTTTTTTTTTGGCAGGGGTTAAATAGTGTTATAAGAACCACCTGAATTCAGCTTCCCTTCCAATAGTCCTCTTACGTGAAAATGTTGGTGGTAACTTTTCAAAGATATGTTGGCATTGGCATGTGCTGTTTTCTTTCCAGAAAAAATAATGAGTGTGTCTTTTTACTGTATCTGGGTGGGGAACAGAAGTTGCCCCATACATTTTAAAAAGTAGATCAGCTGAGCAAAGACTTGTTCATTCATGAACAGATCATCTTGAGCAGAAGTTTAAGTAGCAGTCAGTGTCTGTTTTCATAAAATAACAAATAGTACATTGATCCTGACTCAGAGTTCAAGTCATATACAGTGAAATAGAAAACTTTTTAGTGGAAGTCCCCACGTCCAAACCTTTCCTCACACTATTCCCCCTACCTGGAGTGCCCTCTTCCTCCATTCCATATGCCTTTTAACACCTAGCTCAAGTTCTCAATTATAACTTTCCCTCCCCACTCCAGACCTTGTGGCATTTTTGGAAATTAGAGCTGCAGGGATCCTTAGAGACCTTCTTGTGCAACCATTTGTTTTCCAGTGAAGCTGCAGTTAAATGATTTGTCTAAGGCTTTTTTCTTCTTCCCATTAATCTCTTGCGGCATTTGTTGTCATTCCCATCCTTTGGTGCACGATACGTGCTCTGTGATATAACTTTTTATTCACTGTGCTTTACATCCCAAAGTAGACAGCAGGCTGTCTGAAGGCAGTTTGTTATATGCGTCTGTTTATTTCCCTCTGCCTGGGACTGAGCTCTATTTAAAGTCACCCAATAAATACTTGATAATAATAGTCTTCTGCTTAAATATTTAGAAGATAACCTATTCAGAGAACGCTCATGTGGGTCTGTGTTCTGAAGTTTCAAAAGGTAAGCATTATGTTGGACTCACTCCAGCTGTGTAAGATTGATATTACAAAAGGGGCTGGCTCACATCGTTATTGTTGGGATCTCCTTTTCTTTCCTACATCAGTTTTCCATTCTCCCTGTCCTATCTGTGTGCTCATTTTTACTCTAATGTATTCACTCTGCTTATTGGTGTGAAGCTAGCAACTTGGAGAAGGCTGGTGTTGATATACCAATTTGAATCAAGCTCAAATTGAATGTGTGACAACTATTCATATTTCCCAGTGACCAGGCCTCAGGAGAGGGCCCCTACAACAATTCCCCCCGCACATAGAAATGTGCGATTTCTATATACGTTAGAGACTTTTACAGTACCTGGCACTATTCTGCATAGCCTTCCAGTCTGCTGTGATGCTTCACCTTCCAGTGTTCTATCACCAGCAGCTATCCCAGGAACGTTCTCTTGGTCAATACTCAAGAAGTGATAGACTTGGGGTAGGTTCTAGTCAGCATAATCTGCTGTGAAACACTCACAGTTAGGACAGGACTATAGAGAATGAATGCAATATCATGCACTTTAACTCTAGCATGGAATTTGTTCACATAGGCTTTCTCTGTATCTTGGCGAGGTGCAAAAACTTGAAAATACCTTCCTCTATTCCACTTTGAAATATGGAAAGTTGGCCTCCATACAGGAATTGTAAACCCATGTTTCCCCCGAAATACTAACATTGCTTCACTTATTATTTTTTGAGAGGAAATAGAATCTTTGCTTGCCATTTCTAAAAGGCAAAGTTTATCTGTAGGCCCTTTTTGACCAAAGAGCTGCATTTGGCCTTTACACGTGAGCGGCAAATTGATCTCTGATTAACCAAAAGGGGGAAGCAAAAGCATTTAACTCCAGGCCTTTTACGTTCTGAAGAAATTTTACATGGTAAGGACTAAATCTGTCAAATAGCTAGTTGGTAATTTACTTCTATTGATATGGTAGTCAGACAAGATAATTGGTAGTTAATTAATAGACCACTTAACTTAAAAGGTTTCACAGTTTTAAAATACTAATTACTGAATTAGGCATTTATCTATACCCAAATGTCTAAAGTCTATTTAGTTAAAATCCATCCAGGAAAAGTAAAAGCCCACCAGCTAGATCTGAGTAATGTAGCACTTAAAGACATTAGTGCTTTGCTTGTACCTAATATCTCATGAATGGTTCCTAATCATTAATGTTTAAGTTCTTATGTGATTTACTGGTTTTTAATCTCATACTGTATTCCTCTCTTCTCTGGTTAGAGAAATCTAGTTTTGTTCAAGGCCTCTTAGGTTTAGAATTTTTAGAAAATTATTTTTAAATTATTCATATAAAACTATTAGGTCAATTTTTCCTCCATACCATAATATTAGAATGTAAAACTAAATACTTTATAGACGATTGCTTCCCTATCTTAGTATAGCTATTAAAAACTTGCTATTTGTGGCCTATTTTTAAAAGCCTGCACTAGAACTAGTTTCTGTTATTAAATAAATGTCGTATGCATAAAAATGAGCTTTAGAAATAAAGACTTTTTATGTCTTCAACCGAATTGTAAATTGACATGGGATAAGCCTATTTTATCTTATTAATTCTTGTGGTCCAATTGAAAACTGAGTAAAACATCTCTTTGGGTAGCAACTGCTTGGATACCTGAGACTCTGTATACCTATATACACAAAATATGATCACACATTCATTGAACTTTGAGTTTCTATATTTGATATGTTACATGCTGGACTCGAATCTATTACTACTAGAAATCAAAATTTATGACAT